TCGTGAGGTGCAAGCCGGGTTTCATCGTGGTCGTGGCTGCATTGACCACATCTTCACCTTGCGTCAGTTGTGGGAGCAACGTCACACATATTTTTGGCCCACCGTAGTCGTGTTCCTCGACATCAAAGGTGCTTTTGATTCGGTTGATCGATGTGCCCTTTGAAATCGTCTACTCAGGAAAGGTGTGCCTCGAGAAATATGTAAATATTATCCAGGCATTATGTGCGCTTAGCACGGGCAGAGTGAGGGCTTACGGCAAGCTGTCCTCGCCCTTGTATATCTCCATCGGTGTGAGACAAGGATGCCCGCTTTCACCTTTCCTTTTCAACTTCGCTATTGTCGAAGTCATGGAGATTGCATTTAGAGGGCATGATTTAGAAGGTGTGGAGCTACTCCCAGGAGAACGAGTTCTTGACTTGGAGTATGAAGAAGACTTGGCCGTCATCTGTGACAGCTCCCAAACATGCCAACCCGCGCTGGACAGATTAGCACTGGCTGTCAGCCGCTTCGGACTTTGCTTTGCACCGTCGAAATGCAAAGCTTTCCTCCAAGATTGGCAGGGATCGCCTCCTGCTCTAACCCTTGTGGGGAATCAGCTAGAAGTCGTTCAAACATTCAACTACATGGGAAGTTATATCAGCGCTCTTGGAATCGAAGATGCGATCGCAAACCGTATAGCAAAACCTCGAGGCGCTTTTGTTAGTCATCGTCACATATGGCGACGGCGCGACATTACTCTCGTTCTGAAGGGTAGAGTGTACAACGCAGCGGTACGTTCGACCTTACGGTACGGTTGCGAAACCTGGTCCCCTAGGATCGGCGGACATAAAGAGGCTAATTACGTTCGACCACCGGTGCCTTCGCAATATAGCTCACATGTGGGGGGATCATTGAGTTAGCAACAAGCGTGTTCGACGCCTTGTTCACGGCACATAAAAAGGAACTGAACTGCTCAGCACCGTTATTTCACGCACCAGGCTACGATGGCTCGGCCACGTGTTACGCATGCCAGCCCACCGACTTCCGCGCCGCGCGTTGTTTGCTCGCCGGGGGTGTGGATGAAAGAAGAGGAGGGGTGGCCAAGCGATGACTTGGTCCAGAGGAATAAAGTCCCTCACTTCGGAGCTGGCCTCGGTTGGAGCGTCACAGCTCCTTGGTTAGGGTTTAAAAGATGATGAACACGTTTGGTTGGATACACTTGCTGACATGGCATGGAACCGACCTCAGTGGCGTTCCTGCTGTGAGTTTTTGTCCTTCCCCATCCCTTTTGGCCTCCCAATCCATCTACGATCTCATTTTGTAGCGTAAAACATAATAATATTTCTTTTTGCCTAGTAGCCGGGTGTTAGCTTACCGGAACGATGCCTATCCGTTGCTGGTAGCTCAGCTGGCAAGCAACTGTGGTATTTATTTGCCTTTTCCTTTATATATTGCGGCACAGTAGCTGAGGTATTCCCCACCTCTAGCTGACGTGTATAATGACGAATGATGGCAATTGTTTATAGTCATCCACTGTCCACCCCAGAGAGCGATTAAGTAACAATACTTTACGACTATGTGTGTTATGCGGGATATCCACAACAACCTATTTAATTCTATCGGACAATCACACACTACGACATACTAACAGAACTCGTTGGAGAAACCATCTGGGAGTTATCAGATTCTTGTTCCATTGATAGTGCTTGGATAGTTTGCTGACAAGTCCAGTTATCTGATCATATCTAAATCGGAAAACTGGCCTTTTTTCTTTAAATGCGCCATCATTCATTCCCAGCGGAACTCGAGAACTCATGGTCACAAGAGGCTCAGCGTGGAGTGTATGCACAACAAAATCTCTCCCTGACAAGCGGAGCAACTATGTGGTGCCGCTTTATCAATGTAGCACACTTGTGCTTGAGGAGAATTTAGTACACCAGCAGAGTCTAACGAAAGAGTTTTATGCTAAAAACAAGCTTCGATACAGGAATGTGAACAGCCTCAGAAAATGCAAGCATAGTGTTCTCCACTCATTTCAGCAAATGTAGGTGCTCAAACCGCCGAGAGTGCAACCAACGCTTTACGGCTACCATATGCTACAATATTCCTACGAAACACCATCATGTATCTCACAGCTGTTCCATTCTCCCATGTGCTAATATTTACACACGTAACTTTTAGTTCAGTGACTGTTTCGGTGAAGCTGCTATCTTTGCGCACCAATAGTTGCCCTGAAGCTGACAACCTTTAACCGAAATCCCTGCAGGTGGAACCTATGAGGATAGCTGATCCATTAGTCCGAATTTTCCAAAGATGCCTGGAAAACAGCATGTTCCTAGCGTGTTGTAACATGGGATCATTACCTTGATTTTCAGGGTTGGAAGCCGTTCGGAGCCTGCCTACTATCGCCCAGTACCTCTTCTCCTAGTTCTTTCTATCGTGATGGAGCCGATCTTAGATGAGGTACTAATGGGTCATTTAGAAGATCTGACATAATAACACAGGATCAGCACGTATTCCGTCAGCATCGGTCATGTACCACCAATCATCTAATTGAGTGTTGTATTTGGATCGAGACAGCCGATGGTGGGACTAAAACCGATGTCATCACACACGAGTTTTCTAAAGCGTCCGACCGATTGGATCACTGCATCCTTCTCCAACAGGTGCAAACCTATGGAGTTGAGCACCTTGTCTTTGGATGGATTAGAAATCTCCTCCTTCAATGGCTTCATTAGCTTCAGGTACAGAGCTCTTTTTCTGATAATACTTACGTAGACCGCGACGTTCCACAAGAGCCATCGTTGGAGCAGCGTTAATTCTTGGTCTACATCAACGACTGTGCGTGTTTCACTGAATAACGACTGCTGTCTTTACCGATGACATTAAGATATGGCAGGCGATCGATAAGCAGGAATGTCATGATCTGCTGCAACGAGACCTCAACCAAGCCTTCGTGTGGTCAAAGGCAAACAAGTGTAAAACGCAAACATAAATGTAAACGTGAAAACTGTAAAACTTTACATGTAAGCCACAAGTCGATAGCGCATCTAAGCTTAGAGACAACATCTTGAAGAGCGCCTCACAGAAACGCGACCTATGGATGATGATGTAAGACAACTTTAGCTATTCGGAGCAGTCCTTGAAGTCGTCCACAACTGCGATATAACATGTTGGTCACTTACGGAGTGCGCTTGATAACACCATCTTTCCTCATATGCCCAATGTATAATGAGGCCCCATGCGGAGTACGCGATTCAGACCTGGCAATCCTGGCTGAAAAGTGATCTGGTTGTACTGGAGACCGCGCAGAAAAGAGCAAGCCAAAATGTGAAGTGTTTGTTCCACCTGCCAAGCCTTCTGAAACTGAAAGCATTAGGAGGGCTCAATGGAAGTTATCGCCATCTACCAGGCGAGCACATTTTGGCGTACCAACTCTTGCAGTACGCCGATCACGCTTGCCGCCAACTCTTGTAACTTAGCAGCATCGCAAACTCGCAGGGTAACGGCCTGAAACTGGGCACTAAATACCATCGGTTTGGATGCAGCTGGAACTATTTTTCGTTCCGAATTTGTCAGCTGTGGGACAATGTTTTGACTTTTGTCATTTCTGCGCCCAAGCTCCTAACTACAAAGCGACCAGACGATGCCTTGTACCATCTTCACTACGTGATTTGCATTCTTTTCATCTAGCGATGACAAGACGCAAACGAATAGTCTACTGACCATCCTCGGCGAATTGAGTGTAAGCGGATACGCTTGCACGCTAGCATGTATAGTATTGTGAGTCTTCAGATGCGCGCTTCATTTTGGTGTCACCATTTTTGAACACGACAAGAACACAATTCATCCATAGTTCCGTTATTCCATTGGCTGACTCGCTGAAGAACCTCCTCAGCTGGGTGGTTCGTGTTAATCTCGTTCCAACGAATGGTTCGGCGCTGGTGTTTCAGGAGTTATTGGGTTTCCTCCTGACAAGCGCTGTCCCTACAAAAAGTCACCAAAGTGTGTTTATCAACACTGCGACGTGACATATATGACACGCCACTAACTAAATTCCTTGCCTCTTACTTCTCCGGATGCTCGTATCCAATCCACGGATGTCAGTCTTACAATACGGATATCCATTCATCCCCACTCGCGTTGACGATCCGACCAAAAACAAGCACAAATGCGACGTTACATTAACAAATGCAAGCAAGACAGCGATAGGCATCCATACCTACAAGAATTCATCTACACCTATCACACTGAATCATATGTCATAGATATAAAGTTACCGTTGTTTGCCATTACCTGTGCTTAAAGTTTGTAGCACCATGAGCATTCCTATGCAGACGTGTCTCACACTGTCGTGCATACAACACTTATTTGTTTATTAATGATAGCGCAACACCGAATCGATACTGCCTTGGCCAGCTAGTTTCCGCTCCACATGTTACATTGAAATGGAACGATGCTACCACTCTGCTCACCCAGAGAGTGCGTGACTGAATTTTTTGGAGAAAACACCCAACAGAGAGAGCTACAAACATTCTGGTTAGATCGGTTGGAGGATCATCTGGCAGGCAGTGGGAATGGGAGAAAATGAAATGACCTGCGTAAATTTTTGTGACATTGTTACCCACCACATCAATACAAAAAGATAGTCCTTTGCTACTTGTACAAAACGTGTGAAACATTACTGATAGGAAGTCGCACTACCATGATTTATCCTACCATTGATTTGCTTTTTCGACCAACCAAGTTATCTCTATACCACTGTTTTACAACATAACAGTGACAACTTCTAGCCGAAGTCTATAGGGCTGAATACTGCACCACCTGGCCATGGTTGTTTGTTAATATCTCCTTTTGTGTTCTAGCCCATACTCCAACCGACATGTCATAAGGAAATCCAACTGACATGTTCATATAGAACTTGGACACATTTGTATCGCTGTCCTTAGCGTAGCCTAATTTTCCGTAGTAAACTGGAAGAAAAACAAATAAATTAAAATAAAAGTAGCCTGCCAAGCTTAATGCTGCTACTTGTGAATACAATCGATGATGACACAGCTCATATTACTATTGAGCTTGCTGTTCCACTACTTCAAGGATATGTTGAATTTTTGAGTTCCATTTGTGTGGTATCAAAAGATCGGCACATTTTCCATTTGGGATTATTGAACGACGTAAGTTAATGTATAAGAAGCTTAAATGAAATACTGGAAAAAGATATTGCGGACAGCAAAATAAATGCTTACAAGCTTCCGGGGGATGATCAAAGTGAGGAGCACAAAATAGGCAAAGGAAACCAGCGCTGAAAAACGCAGCATTTTGTATAGTTCACCAAAGTGGTGACACGGAAGCTCACGTATCATAGCAAATCTAGACAATGTGGGGAATTTTGACTAGCGCGCAGCCTGTTGTTCACGAACCAGTAGTAGGTTGCAATCAATTCAAGATATTAGCGGACGGTTAAAGAAGAATTTGAAAGTGAGGCGAACAAAGGTTGTGAGTCAATACGGCAAATCACTTGATCGGGTGTAATCGATTGGATCAAGGAGTCCAAATATGCAGTCAATCCGTTTCCAGATAACTAAAGTGCTATTGGTCCGTTCATGCTGTTCATCTGATTGGCAGATGTCGTTTGCCTACGCCACTCTGAGTTGCTCAGCTTTGTATTTGACATAAGCGTGGTTGGTTATGATGGTAACTGAAAAACATGTAGAAAGGACGTGAGGCAACGCTTGAAAATTGTTTTGAAGGTTTATCTTAATTGATCGAGTTGTTTCCCTCCATGTGCCCGAGCTCTTGCAAGGATGTCCCCCCTGACTGGACGGAATCAAGGTGACCGCTGACTCCGTCATTTCTATGGGAACATCCACCACCATAGAGTGGCGCAGGTGAGAAATTGGAAAATACATACAAAGAGATACTGACCAGTGATCATCATACGACACTAATCGACCGTTTCAAGATTGAAAACCGTTATTTCTGAGAACTCAGCTGAAGAAACTGATGCCTCATTAGGTATGTTGTTGAATATTATCATCATTCTATTTCGGCGAGCGTTCGAATTGTGATCAGCAGGACATGCCACCTCAATTCGGTCTAACATCACCGGGAAATGCTTCATATTTCTGCTGGTTGTAGAACACAAACTTGACATCCACCAATGAACTCCTAACCACAAAAGCCCTATGTTGCATGTACACAAACGCTCAAGGCCTTCTAAGCAAGTTGGCCGAACTTAGAGAACTCCATGCCTCACAACCGCGGGACCACCTCATGATTACAGAGACATGGTTAAACCCTGAGATAACCGAATGTGAGGTCAATTTACCCGGTATGTCGCCGCTTCGGACCGATAGAACCGGAATGGGTGGCGGTGTGATTCTTCACTATTATACAAGCCTCCGATGTGAAGTTATCGATCACCCGGAAATCCGAGCTCCCGATTCGCTTTGGTGCCGCCTTTGGTTGCGAAACAAGGACACATATCTACTAGCTGTGGTTTATCGCCCGCCAAACTCAACGTCGGAAATGGACTCCAAACTGCACCACGTTTTTCAGTTTGCTTTGAACAAGTCCTACACCCACATTCTTATCGCGGGAGACTTTAACGTGCATGACATAGAAACGCCGGCAACTGACGGTACGCAATTTAAAGCCTGTTTGCAAGAACTTATTGCTAGCCACCCTCTTTACAACCACGTAACCTCTCCCACCAGATTTCGAGCTTCTAACAAGCCGTGGATACTGGATTTTGTGCTAACTAACGAAGAACTCATGGTTGGCGCGATAGTTACAAGCACACCACTGGGTCGTAGTGATCATGTCACTCTACTCTTTGATTATATATGCTATGCCGAGTACCCGGAAAAGGAGGAGGATAAAGTGCACACTGTCACGCACTACAATGTGTTGTCCAAGCTTGTTAAGGATACATCTTGGACTTTCTTAATCAAGTGCCCCCCAGATCTGGCCTGGGATATGTTTACAAGGACTTTGAGCACACTGGTAGCGCAAGCATCGGAACAGAAGTCCTTCCAACCCAAAAACCAGAGTAAGTCATTTCTGAGGAGCAGAACACGTAAATGTATGTCCCGGAGGGATTTGGCATGGCGAAATCACCAGGGTTGCCCGAATGCCGAAACCTTGACTGCATACGTGACACATCGTAACTTCTGTGTGAAACTGATCCGCGAAGACAAGGTCACGCATCAGCAGAAGTTAATGAAGCGATTCTGCACTAACCACAAACTCCTGTACAGGCACATTAACGGCCTTCGAAAGGTAAAGCGAGGGGTTCCGGCGCTAGTCACGGCTGATGGATACACGCGGTCAGCAATGGAAGCAGCTGATCTCCTACGGCTTCATTACTCCTAAACGATCCAACAAGTGTCGAGCCCAAACATTCACCTCATTTCTAATACTCCACCATCTGGTTTAGAAAACATCACCTTCACTACGGAGGCTGTGTTGAAGAAGTTGTTATCCTTGCGTATCCACAGTTCTCCCGGAGCTGATAACATCCGACCAAAGGCTCTACAGGCAGTAGCTAGTGACCTAGCAGAACCACTGGCTGTTTTCTATTAGCGATGTCTAGAGGAAAACCTTATTCCACCAGTTTGGAAGCAAGGGGTCATCACTCCTATCCATAAAGGAGGTAGCCGCACTGATCCTGCCAACTACCGTCCAATAACACTACTTACTGTACTATCCAAAGTGATGGAATCAATCGTCGCAGACGCGCTGATGCAATACCTTGAAAGTCACTATTTAATAGCCCCTGAGCAACATGGCTTTCGTCAAAAGCATTCGTGTAATACTAACCTATTAGTGGCACGTAATAGCTGGACTGAAGCTGTTGATGATGGAGTGGGAGTCGATGTCATCTACCTGGACTTTTCAAAAGCGTTTGATCGTTTAGACCATCGAATTCTCCTTCAGAAGCTCCGCAACTACGGCATTGGCGATCCAATCCTGAGTTGGATTAGCAATTTTCTACAAGAACGATGGCTAGTGGTGAGAGTCCGAGAATCATTTTCTCATTTAATCGATGTGACGTGTGGAGTACCACAAGGCCCGGTTCTTGGACCTCGTCTATTCTTGGTGTTCATTAACGATTTGGCTAGATTAATTACTTCCGATTTCCTATTTTTCGCTGATGCTATCAAGATATGGCGAAGGATCAGAGGACCGGATGACCATGAACGGCTCCAGTGTGGTCTTAACACAGTGTCGAACTGGTCAGTTCAAAACGCTCTACCGTTCAACGTAGACAAATGTCGCGTTGTACAATTACGCCATAGACATAACTACACCTATATACTTGGGACAAACGAATTGCAGAATATCTCCCAGGAATGTGATCTTAGTGTGATCGTACAGAGCGACCTCAACTGTTCAAAAC